TTATATAATTATATAGTATAATTATATAATATATATATATATATTATATAGTATAGGCTACATGTAGCCACAGCTATATGTAAATTTTCCCTTTTTTTAAATAATTATATAATAATTAATAATATATTCTAATCTATTAGAGCATCAAAAAGGTTTCTGAATACTTACATATTATCACTGATTGCCTAACGCGATGAAATTCTTCTTATCTCGCTTGGAATCGGCTTCTTAAATTAAAAAATCATATTAGTATTCTTGTAAACTTACTTTCTATCAAATCTGACTCTGATACCAAAAAAGATCTCAAATATTTAAAAAAAATTATACTTTCCGATGATGATTAGGATACAATAAGTAATCTAATAGAGATTTTCCATCCATTCACTGAGGCCACTGATTACTTAGGTGAAAACAATTATTGCACCTATTCAATAATGGTTCCTATTTTATTTAAGCTTAAGAAAAGTTGTCAACCGTCGGCATTTAATAATAATGTTAGAGTAGAAATTGATATTAGAGAAGAAATTGATGATGATGATGATAATAACCAAGACTTGTTTGATGATGCTAGTAGCGACGAAGAGGAGGAGGATAAACAAGTTTACATACCAACTAATATAGATATTGATGAAATTAAAATTAATTTATATCATGCAAAAAACCGTTATTGGCCCCAATTAACATCACCAAGTTCACTTTTACTTTGCCTTCTGGATCCAAGATATAAAAGTCTTTTTTTTATCATATTTGATAAATGGTTTACTACAGAAAGTCTCCTTTGTGAAGAGTATGATAAGATGAAAAATAGCATAAATAAGAAGAAAAAAAAATAGTTAGAATGGAGATTAAATCAACTTCAGTAAAAAAAAATACTAAAAGTAAAAGTATTCTTTCTAACCTATGCTGGTTACGGTTGAGGAGATTTCTGATTATTTGAGGCTTGAAGAAATTGACTTTGACTGTAATTCTTTTATGTGATAGCATGAACAGTATAATAAATTTCTGGTTTTGAGTAAGCTAGCTAAAAAATATTTATCTGTTTTTGCATCTTCAACAGCTAGCGAAAGGTTGTTCTTTGATACAGAGAACTTAATAACTTTAAAAAGAACTTGTATAAGTTTTATGTTATTTAAACGGTTAATATTTTTAAAGAGAAATGAAAAATATATTGATAACATTTATCTATGTTAAATATGTATGTACGTAATAATTTTTTTGAATTGTGAAATTTAGTTAGTGTTAGATTTACCTTTTTGATGGGTTAGAAGGTTTTATTATATATATATATCAAGAATGCAATCTATGTAGTATGTAAATCATATAAATTGAATTTCTATAAAATTGATTTCAATCTATATGTACCTACATACAATATGTACTTTACCTGATGTAGATTGATAATTTTTTAGTTGTTGATTGACTTATTTTAAATTGGTATATTCTGTATTAGTTATCATTGTAATAAGATTGCTTCATGCAAGTTGTAGCATATATTTTATTATTAAAAAGTTTATACATGTGAGTATAGAGAACATTTATTAGATATTCAAGTTTATGAATATTTACTACTTAATTTCATTTTATTTGAGATAAATTAGTGTATGAGTGGCTTGTTGGTTCATAATCTTTGATATTTGATACATTAACATTACCATGAAGTTTAAGTAAGGATGCCAATGCAACTCCATTTTAATTTAGTTATTGTGCAATAATTTTATTTTATAAAAATATTTTATATATTAGAGGTTTCGAAATTAATTTATTTCGAAGATAAGTAAAAATTAAAACAGTCCTATCTTCTGTTTTAAAATTCTGAATCAGAAAATTAAATAGGCCTATCAGGTGAAAAATTTAGACATTTTTTTGATAAATATCTACTGATAAGCGATTTTGTAATAAGTATACACTTTAAAATTTCTTGTCATTATTAAGTATATCATTTAATATTATACTGTAGATAAGTGTTTAAGTATAAGAGTTTCTGTGGGTTAATCATTTAAATAAATCTTTCAACATGTGTATAATAATTTTTGGTGATTAAAAATGATGAGGATCTTGGTTATCTGTAGATGTAATGTTTTAATAGTCAATTGAAAGAATTCTGAATCTAATTGTGGTCTAATTCTTTGTTGATATACTGCAGAATTAGTGGATATCTTTATGAATAAGTTGGTATAAATTCTGTTAATGTTTGATTTATGATTTAGATTTACTAAACCTTTATTTGTTTGACAGAACCCATAAATAAAGTGAAAATGATAATACAAAATCTAATTCTACTAATGATTATAAAAGAATTCTGTTTATAGAATGTGTACATTATAGCAATACTTGATTTTAAATTAACTGTTGCCTTGAAAATAAAAATTAGTCTATTGGCATGGAAAATTTACCTACACTCAATCTCTGAGATGAAAAAGGATATACTTTCTCTATTCTTTAAGCTGTTATTTTATTTATTTTTTACTAATACTAATTAACTTATTAGCATGAATAGACAAACCAATCGATTATATATTTAATTGATTAATTTCGGTATCTATATTAAGAGTGCCAAAGATATACAAGACCCAGGTCTGTTACATTCCACCGATTTTAAAACCTACAGTAGATCTGGGGTCTAGTATACAGCTGAGCGTTTATATTATAACAAGGTAAATTCTAAAGTACATACTTTGCATTTTAATAAGCAGCTTAGATTTTTAAAAACATATGCATTAATTTAATAGATTTTGTGATTCATACACAGGATATATAGAGGTTTTTATATGATCTTTTATAGTAACTGCTCCTTACTATATAAGTACTGCGATAAACTGAACTTTTTTAATTGAAATGTTCATATGGGCCAATTTTTACAATATACTTTTCAAACTGATCTAATTCTGATTAAATTTGCTGATTATTTGGTCTTGGCTTATCAGTTTTAAACTGTCTCTCTTGTAGTTGAACTATTCAAGTTGTTAGTATGTGAAATTACAAAAGTATAATGCTAATAGGTAATACTGTATCGCATCATAGTTCTTCAGAGCTAAGTTCGCCATTATGAAAACAAAATATTTTCTTTCAGATAAGGACATAACATTATCATAATTAATTACATGAATTGTAAGATTGTAACTTTTTCTGCTTTCAGATTTTCACTTACTTATACACTTATTTTTTGCTTAATTCATGTTAATTTTGTTTTCATAACCCGGCCCAATCTTGAAATTTTTACATACTATATAGGTATGTAATAATGCGCATATGCAATAATTCGAATCATTATCCTAATTTTGAAGAAAAAAATTACAACTACTAAAACTTTCCTGAAAATATGTATATTGGGCACATTATTTTGGGACGCACATGGATGCTATTCTAAGACAAATATGCGATTTTCAAAAATATAGAATTTTTAAAATAGTACTATGTGTATCTATACAATAAAATTTTTAAGAAATATCAGGTGATCGGAAGTGTTTTAAAATTTTAATATTATGAAAACCAA